CTGGGGGGCGGGGGGAGAGTTATAAAATCTGCTGTGCGTCTGGGGAATAATGCAATGATAGAGCATTCAGCTTAAGGCACTGCACCACAACAAATAAATAATAGAGCCAGGCGGTGGTGGCTCATGCCCTTAATCCCAGTATTCAGGAGGCAGAGCCAGGCGGATCTCTTTGAGTTCAAGGCCAGCCTGGTCTACAGAGTGAGTTCCAGAAAAGGCGCAAAGCTACACAGAGAAACCCTGTCTCAAAAAACCAAAACAAACAAACAAACAAAGAAAAAAAACAAATAAATAATAGAGTCAGTAGCTAGACATAGGGGCTCATGCCTTTAATCCCCGCTCTCAGGAGGCAGCTCTCTAAATTCAAGGCCATCATCATCTACAGAGGGAGTTCAAGATCAGCCAGGACTACACAGAGAAACCCTGTCTTAAAAAACAAAAATAAACAAACAAAATCTGAAAATCACCTTTTCGCAATCAGCCCATTTGTTGGTTTATTATTTTTTTTTTTCCTCTTTATTCTTTGGGGGCCTGCCACCCAGCTCCCAAATAAATCACACAGAGACTTATTCTTACTTAGGAATGTCCAGCCTTAACATGGGTTATTTCTAGCCAGCTTTTCTTAAATTATCCTGTCTATCTTTTGCCTCTGGGCTTTTTTCTTTCTCTATATACCTTTCTTTACTTTCTATATACCTTTCTTTACTTTTTTTTTTTTTTTTAAGATTTATTTATTTATTATGTACAGTTCTGCCTGCATGTATGCCTGCAGGCCAGAAGAGGGCACCAGATCTCATTATGGATGGTTGTGAGCCACCATGTGGTTGCTGGGAGTTGAACTCAGGACCTCTGGAAGAGCAGCCAGTCCTCTTAACCTCTGAGCCATCTCTCCAGTCCCCTTTCTTTACTTCTTACTCCATGGCTGGCTGTGTAGCTGAGTGGCTGGCCCCCAATGTCCTCCTCTCCGTTTTCTTTTCTCCCCAATCTTCTTTTCCCAGATTTCTCCTTCTATTTATTCTCTCTGCCTGCCAGCCGCGCCTGTCCTTTCTCCTGCCTTGCTATTGGCTGTTCAGTTCTTTATTAGACCATCAGGTGTTTTAGACAGACACAGTAACACAGCTTCACAGAGTTAAATAAATGCAACACATCTTTGCACCATTAAGCAAATGTTCCACAGCATAAACAAATGTAACACATCTTCAACTAATATTCCACAACAAGTCTAGAAATAAATAATGAGGCAAGACTCATCAGTAGACCTAAAGCTCTTAGGACAGGTGATTGGTCCAAAAACAGCCAAAGTGGCAACCGTATAGTGAAAAAATACCAGAGACGGCTCTGAAACACAGCCAACAGATCCATGGGCTCTACAGATACATAAGGACACAGCATGTGGTCTTCCACACAAGGACACATGTCCTCAGTGGTCTTCTTGCCAAGGATGTATAATCTTACATCTGGAAAAACATCAGACCAAACCCAGGTGGGGACATGCCACAAAGCTGAGATTTCAGAAATAACAGCCAGCTGGGCATGCCTGTAACCCAGCACGTGCGAGGTTCTGGCAAGAGGACTAGCATATGAGTTCAGGGATAGCCTGAGCTACTTATGGAGAATCAGGCCAGACAGGACTACCTGGCAAGAACCTGTCTCAAACAAACAAACAAAAAGAAATGTTATCTGGGCACAGGCATGCTACCAGGCATGCAGAGTGAAGCAGTGAATAGGCAGGAGCCTATGCCCAGCCCAGGCAGCAAAGGTTCTGCTTTTTTAGAAAGCTGGGTATGGAAGTCAGAACAGTGCTAACAATCATTCAGCTGAAGCCAGTAGATCAGAAGGCCAAAGCCCTATCTCAATAAACAAACAACATTAGCTAGGTGTAATATATATACCTGTAATCCAAGTGTTAGGAAGGGCAGATGGGTGAGGGTTACCTAATTTTCTAGGCCAGCCAAGACTAAGTAACAAAGACCCTTCTGCTGTGGATATCATTCTGTATAAATAAAATACTGATTGGCCAGTGGCCAGGCAGGAAGTATAGGTAGGACAAGAAGAGAGGAGAATTCTGGGAAGTGGAAGGCTGAGTCAGAGAGACACTGCTAGCCGCCTCCATGACAAGCAGCATGTGAAGATGCCGGTAAGCCAAGAGCCACATGGCAAGGCATAGATTTATAGAAATGGATTAATTTAAGCTGTAAGAACAGTTAGCAAGAAGCCTGGCACGGCCATACAGTTTGTAAGCAATATAAAGTCTCTGTGTTTACTTGGTTGGGTCTGAGCGGCTGTGGGACTGGCGGGTGAGAGAGATTTGTCCTGACTGTGGGCCAGGCAGGAAAACTCTAGCTACACCCTTCCTCAAGAAAGATAAGAGAAGCCAGGAGGTGGTGGCTCAGGCCTTTAATCCCAGCACTCGGGAGGCAGAGCCAGGAGGATCTCTGTGAGTTACAAGCCAGCCTGGTCTACACAGCAAGTTCCAGAACAGGATCCAAAGCTACTCAAAACTCAAACAAACAGCTGGGCAGTGGTGTTGCACACCTTTAAACCGAGCACTTGGAAGGCAGAGGCAGGCGAATCTCTGTGAGTTCGAGGCCAGCCTGGTCTCCAAAGTGAGTTCCAGGAAAGGCACAAAGCTACACAGAGAAACCCTGTCTCGGAAAAAAAAAAAAAAATTGGACCTGGGTTCAGTTCTCAGCAACCACATAGCAGTTCACAACCATCTGTAACTCCAGTTCCAGGGATCCAACAACTTCTTCTGGCTTCTGTTGGCATCAGGCATGCCTAAGGTACACAGACATACATTCAGGTAAAACACCCATACACATTAAAAAAATTTTTTTTTTTTTTTTTTTTTTTTTGGTTTTTCGAGACAGGGTTTCTCTGTGTAGCTTTGCGCCTTTCCTGGAACTCGCTTTGGAGACCAGGCTGGCCTCGAACTCACAGAGATCCGCCTGGCTCTGCCTCCCGAGTGCTGGGATTAAAGGCGTGCGCCACCACCGCCCGGCAAAATTTTTTTTAATAATAATAAAAACTCACAGGTGTGGTGGCTCATACCTGTAATACAAGTACTATAGGAATACAAGAAACAAAAGTCAGCACGGGTTGTACAATAAATTGGAGACCAGATGAGCTACTTGAGACTGTCTCAAAAAAAATTTTAATTAAAAAATAAGCCAGGCAGTGGTGGCACACACCTTTAATCCCAGCACTCAGGAGGCAGAGGCAGGCAGATCTCTCTGAGTTCGAGGCCAGCCTGGTCCACAGAGTGAGATCCAGGACAGGCACCAAAACTACACAGAGAAACCCTGTCTTGAAAAAAACAAAACAAAAAAAACAAAAAAAAGAAAGAAAAAAGAAAAGAAAGGAAAGAAAAGAAACCCTGTCTTGAAACACAAAATAAATAAATAATACTGGGTGGAAGGACTCCGTAGGCTGAGGCATGATTGTCCCGGAGTTCCAGGCCAGCCTGGACTATCAAGGGGCCAGGCATTGATCTCCATGCTCACAATGGCACCTCCTTACTAGGTTGCTGTGAGGAGGAACTGAGTTCGTTTGTAACTGTAGAGTAGGAAGTCTCAGCCTGGCATGATAGCATGCCTGTAAATCCAGCCTCCAGGAAGCAGAGGCAGGAGGATCACTGCAAGTTCAAGGCCACCCTGTTCTGCAAAACCGTGTAAACCCTGTCCCTGTGTAAACCTTTTCAGCTAAGAGTCTGATACACGTATGCACCAAGAAATTTAACTCCTACCTAACGGAGCTACAGCCTGCAGCTTGGTGGTAGAGCTAGCCTTCAGCCTTTACAAAGTTACACTAGGTCACGTCATCAACTGGAACCGAAAGACTGGCACTTCCAAGTGTTTTCCATTGTAGGGCTCAAATCCTAGGGCGACCACTTGCTCTTTTGGTGATTTCATGCAAGATACGTTTTTTGTTGTTGTTGTTTTGTTTGTTTGTTGTTTTGGTTTGGTTTTTCCAAGACAGGGTTTCTCTGTCTTTTGTTTTGTTTTTTTCCAAGACAGGGTTTCTCTGTGTATCCTTGGCTATCCTGGAACTCTCTGTAGATCAGGCTGGCCTAAAGGATCTTACAGAGATCTGCCTGCCTCTGCCGGGATTAAAGTCGTGCGCCACCACAGCTGGCTTCATGCAAAACTTCATGCAAAAGTTGCTTTCTGCCTCAGTTTCCTCACTTACCAAGAAGTAAGTGACATCAGACTGCTAGGGCAACATCAACACTTGGGAGGCTGAGGACGGGAGATGGGGAGCCGTGATGAGTTAAAGGCCAGCCTGGGCTACACAGTGACTTTGAGATCCCTGTCTCTAAAACAATACTTGGTGGCAAAGCCTATCCCTAACTCTGAAAACTCCAAGGGACGAGCACAGCCCAAGGTCAATGGTAGAACACTTGCTTGCCATTCACAAGATTCTGTTTTTTTTCCCCTACAGCCAGCGTGGGCAAAAAGGTACCTGACACAAAGTAGCACTTAGGACAGCCACCATTTTGTAAACCAAAGTTAGTGTTAACACGTTTGGAAATTACCGAGGAATGGCAGAAGACCTATTGAAACTAGCGTTTAGACCAGGGAGCCAGGGTTCCCAGAGAGACGCCCCATCCCGCGCCCGACCTTCTCGCGCCCCGCCCGCCTCCTGGCCCCGCCCCTTTCCTCGTAGCCCCACCCCACCTGCTCCGGTCCCGCCTCGCTCTTCCCGGCCTACGCTAGTCTCGCGCACTTTCAATGAGCGCGAGCTCCTCAGCTAGGGCCGGCGGTTGGTCGGACGAAGCCACTTGCCACGTTACGTGGGGGGAATCTAACGCCTACGTGACCACACTTGTTTTTCATTTTTCAGCTTCTCGGACACAGCCACGCTCCTTTCTGTATTCTCCCCTTTGTTTAGGTATGCTCAAGCGTCTGATAGGGTCTGAGCCGCTTCAAGGAGAGAGCGTCTGTGGTTCCTCTGGGTGAGCTCCCCTCCTGACAGGAAGCAGATGGGGGAGGCCGAAGGCGGGCGGGGGCGGGAGGCGGCCCTAGCGCCATTTTGTGGGCACGAAGCGGTAGCTCGGCTTGTATCGGGTTTCTCGCTGTCTCAGTTTCCTCGTCGTGCTTCCTAGCAGCGGCCTAGTGGGTGAGTTGTTAGCCACGGGCGGCTTTTGTGCTTCGGATGTTGATTCGGGGGAGGCCTAAGGCGACCTGCGTCGCGGGAAGGGAGCTGTGGAGCGGGGCCTGGTTGGCCTCGCGCCGCCGCGTCGTTAGGGCCTAGCGCGGGCGGCAGCCGGAGCGGGACGCCGAGCCTGCTGGGCCGTGAAGCCGTGGGCGGAAGTTTGTCGCGGCCCCGGGGCTCCAGCAGTGCCTGTCCCTTCGGGTTTCCGCATTTGGAAACAGTCGTTGCCACCATGGGCCTTGTACTCTTCGCGGCCCCACCCCAGGCCGAGTTAAAGTGGGGAGAAAATCATCAACGTCGTCCATCACGCATGGCCTTCTGGGAAGCGGTGGCCTACATCACGGAGCGTCTGTGGTTGCTGTCCTCGACGCTCACGTTAGCTATCCCTCTCCGAAAATGAGGAACAGAGGTCTGAATCTCTGTTCTGATCGTCGGTTTCCGTGCTCCACCAACCCCAAGTGAAATTCATTGTTGATTTCTTCCACCCACTTAGAGCACGTGCTAAACCCAATGTAGGTTCTCAGACTTTAGAATAAATTAGTTCAGGATGGCCATGAAATGTTATGTCTGTAATCTTTGCTCTCCAGGTAAGAAAACGGCGTTTTGCAAGAGAAAAAGTCGTGACAGAAATACTTAGTTCTTTTGTTTTGTTTTTCTAAACAGTTTTCTCTGTGCGCCTTTCCTGGAACTCACTCTGTAGACCAGGCTGGCCTCGAACTCACAGAGATCCGCTTGGCCAATACTTAGGTGTTTTTTGTTTTTGTCTTGTTTTTTGGTTTTTCGAGATAGGATTTCTCTGTGTAGCTTTGCGCCTTTCCTGGACCTCGCTCTGTAGACCAGGCTGGCCTCAAACGCATAAAGATCCGCCTGCCTCTGCCTCCCAGTGCTGGAATTAAAGGCGTGCACCACCACCGCCCGGCCCAATACTTAGTTCTTTAACACTCTGTTTTTGTCTGGTTTTGGAACCACCAGGCCCCCTGGTAACAGTGTTGGAATTTTAGCAACTGAAACATATAGTAAGCCCTGAGAAAATATTTATTGAGTAAGTGGATTGGCAAAAATACCACATTTTTATTTTAGGTAACTCGCTCCTTTTCCTCAATTTTTCAGGATGACAAAGGAAACATTAGGTTTCAGGTGGCAAGAATCTTCTCAGGAAGTGGGCACAGGGTGTTGTGGTGGCAGCTGACATAAAAAGATAATTGCTCTTACTCTTTTGGTCATTCATCTCTCTCTTTCCTTTAGAAAATTAAGCAAAGATGTCTGAATATATTCGGGTAACAGAAGATGAGAACGATGAGCCCATTGAAATACCATCAGAAGATGATGGGACAGTATTGTTGTCCACAGTTACAGCCCAGTTTCCGGGGGCATGTGGCCTGCGCTACCGCAATCCAGTGTCTCAGTGTATGAGAGGTGTCCGGCTGGTGGAAGGAATTCTGCATGCCCCAGATGCTGGCTGGGGCAATCTGGTATATGTTGTCAACTATCCGAAAGGTTTGTTAATCATTGTGGGTTTTGCAGTATTGCTGACTACAGTTAGACTTGTAGGCCAGCCTAAGTTGTAGATTATTATTTGTGTGTGGGGACTGGTGCCAGTGTAATATCCAGTTTGCTGGGCAGGTAGTCTATTGAGCTCCGTCCTCAGGGTTTGGCCTTTGTGGCAAAATGTCTTCTGCAACCCAGTTCTTTTCAACTTTGTTTAGACTACTCTGGCAAGTTCCCAGTCTAAGTGATAATTGAAAATTGCAGGGCTGGGGTTTTTTGTTGTTGTTGTTGTTGTTGTTTTCGAGACAGGGTTTCTCTGTAGTTTTGGTGCCTGTCCTGGAGCTCACTCTGTAGACCAGGCTGGTCTCAAACTCATAGAGATCCACTTAAAGGCATGTGCCACCGCTGCCCAGCTGAGACTTTTTAAGGAGTATCTATTTAAATATTAAGCTATTGGAACAGTCATTGCCAATTTGATACCAAATTTATGCTGTTAAAACTAAATATTGGCCGGGCGGTGGTGGCGCACGCCTTTAATCCCAGCACTCGGGAGGCAGAGCCAGGTGGATCTCTGTGAGTTCGAGGCCAGCCTGGTCTCCAAAGCGAGTTCCAGGAAAGGCGCAAAGCTACACAGAGAAACCCTGTCTCGAAAAACCAAAAAAAAAAAAAAAAAAAAAACTAAATATTGGGCTGGAGAGATGCCTCAGAGGTTAAGAGCACTGACTGCTCTTCCAGAGTCATGAGTTCAATTCCCAGCAACCACATGGTGGCTCACAACCATCTATAATGAGATCTGTCTCCCTCTTCTGAAGTCTGTCTCCCTCTTCTGAAGTACAGGCAAACTTGCAGAAAGAACACTGTTTATCTTTTTTTAAAAAAAACTAAATTCCTTGGGAGCTGGAAAGATGACTCGGTGGTGAAGAGCAGCTAGAGGACCCGGGTTCAATTCCCAGCACCACGTGGCAGCTTACAACTGTCTGTAACTGGGACCAAAGGTGTGTGCCACCAGGCCTGGCTTTCTCATCTGTCTGCACTATATCTGCCTGGTGCAAAAGGGCACCCAACCTTCTGAAACTGGAGTTGGATGGTTGTGAGCTGCCCTGTGGGGGTGCTGAGAACCAAACCTGATCCTGCAGAAGAGCAGCAGGTGCTTTTAACCCCCGGCTCCCTTATTTAAATTAACCTCTCTTTTCCCTCCTTAAATAAACATCAAATGCAGTGGCTCACAATTTTGAATTAGTATAGAACTACTATCTGTTCTTAAAAGTATGAGAAAGCTATCCTGGTGGCACATGCCTTTGATTCCAGCACTCAAGGAAACTGAGGCAAGTAGATCTGAGTTTGGGGATAGATAGGGTTTCTCTGTATAGTTTTGGTGCCTGTCCTGGGTCTTGCTCTGTAGACCAGGCTGGCCTCAAACTCACAGAGATCCTGCTGGCTCTGCCACCACCACCACCCACCGGCCAAGACCCTTTTATGATTGTGTGGAAATTGGTACATTGTTGCTTTTACTATGATATAGTAGAAGAAAGTAGTGCATATACCTATAATCCTCCCAGCATTGGAGGTAGAGTGAGGCAGAAAGATTGAGCTTGAGGCAGGTCTGAGCTATATAGTGAGTTTCTAGGCCAGCCTGATTTTTTATATACAAGACATGTCAACCAAGGTCAGTCCACCAAAGTTGGTCAATATGCAGAAGCTAATGTATGTCCAAAAAATTGGGGAGGATTTAAAGACAGAGTATATGTGCCAGGCTAAATTTGCTTTTTCATTGTGTCAGTTCTTACGTCATTGGCTGTGTAGCTCAGTGTTTACCTTGAATTAAAAGGACACTTGATGTTGGTTGGGGGTGGTGGCACACACTTGAAATTGAAGGTTAGGAAGCTCAGGCGGAAGAAACTCAATTTTGAAGGTCACTGTGAGAACATAGTGGGATACTGTGTCAAAATGAACGGGGCTGGAGATAGTACATGCCTGGCATGTAGTTCAAGGTGGCATGCACTAGTAATAACTGCAGGGAGAATGAGGAAAGGATTCCTTGAGATCACCCTCTCCATAAACAAGCTTTCTTATTGCTAAGAAAGCACCCAAATTTACATGTGGAAATAAAAGTTGCTAATTTTCATTTTTATATATATTAGAAGTGTGTATATGGGTATTTTCTGTATACCATGTGCATCACAAGAGGGTGTCTGATCCCCTGGATTAGTCAGATATATTTAATGCCACAAAATTAAAATGAAGTAGAATTGGCATTAATTTGGATACAGGTTTTGAGAAAGAACATACAGTTGATTTTACAATCTTAACATTATTCAAAATCTGGGCCATGGAGATAGATAGCTGGTCCAGTAAAGATACTTGCAGAGCAAGCCAGGCAACCTGTCTTAAATCTAGAACCATTAAAAAGCCAGTTGCAGTGATGTGCAGCCTTCCCCAGAAATAACAAAACACACCCTGCCTAGCAGAACAGAAGGCCAGAAACTGCTTACATATGCTATACTCAGCAATTTCTCATATACACAAAACAATTTTCAAAAAGATAATACAAAACTAGAATTGGGATTCCTTGATTTTTGCACCAGAAAAGCATTCCAGCCACTTAAGCTACATTCTATCCTTGAGGAGACTTACAAAACTTTTAGTGTCTTCATTGTTTGCTTTTTTGTGTTCTGTTGTTAAAAGAGTTTCTCTGTGTAGCTCTGACTGTCCTGGAACTTGCTCTGTAGATCAGGCTGGCCTCAAAGAGATCCACCTGTCTTTTTAAAGAACTGCTAAATACTGGTTTCTACTTGCCTTGTTTAGATAACAAAAGGAAAATGGATGAGACAGATGCTTCCTCAGCGGTGAAAGTGAAAAGAGCAGTCCAGAAAACATCTGATCTAATAGTGTTGGGTCTTCCCTGGAAAACAACAGAACAAGATCTTAAAGACTATTTCAGTACTTTTGGAGAGGTTCTTATGGTTCAGGTAAACTTGATTCTGGGTAACAGCTTTTTGTTTATTCTGTTTATATGGGTCATAACAGTAGCAAAATTACAGTTATGAAGTAGCAATAAAAATAATTTTATGGTTGGGGGTCACCATAACATGGGGATCTGTATTAAAGGGTCACAGCATTAGGAAGTTTGAGAACTGCCGGTTTAAAGGAAATGGATTATGTTAGATCTTACTTACATTTGTGCTCATTCTAAACCATTGTTAAATCCTATTGTGCAAGTGAGTCATTGTCTACTCTTAATGATCTGGTTCCCTACTGTTGGTTTTGTTGCCTTGAGCTAACTTTATTAACTTCAATGTGCTACTTCATTCCGTTGAAGCCATTCAGATTTTTATGTGAACTCTGATTTGGTGTATGTGTGGTATTAGAATAAATTTCGATCTTCTCTTCTTAGGTCAAGAAAGATCTTAAAACTGGTCACTCGAAAGGGTTTGGCTTTGTTCGATTTACGGAATATGACACCCAAGTGAAAGTAATGTCACAACGACATATGATAGATGGGCGATGGTGTGACTGTAAACTTCCAAATTCTAAGGTATTTTGCTCTTTACCTGTATGCTAGGGGAGTTTTTTCTTAGATGACCTTAAAAGGTTAAGTGCATTTGGAAACATTGATGACAGGGGAAGTTTTAGTTTTTCAAGGTAGGTTTCTCTGTTGTAGCCTTGGCTGTCCTGGAACTTGCTCTGGAGACCAGGCTGACCTCGAACTCAGATATCCACCTGCCTCTGCCTCCTTGAGTGCTGGGATTAAAGGTGTGGGCCACCACCACCCAGCTTAATGTTAGTTTTAATGTGCTGGGAAACCTAGTATCCAGTGCTTTACTGAGCAGGTGTTTGGCCACTGAGCTACATCACCAGCGCCCAGACTTATTCCAAGCAAGCAATTGAGACTTTTTTGGGAACGTTTGGTTTGGGGTCAAGGTATACTTTGATAATTTAAAACTTGATTTGGACTGGTCAGTCCATAAAGTGCTTACCTCAGGCATGAGGGCCTGAACTTGATCTAGGAACACACATCTTTATTTTGAGGCAGGATCTCTGTGTAGCCCTGGCTGTGCTGGAACTCACTCTGTAGACCAGGCTGGCCTCTGCCTCCCCAGTGCTGGGACTAACCACTGCCTGACTCTTAAGGCCTGTGCTGCTACTATTACTCCCAGCCAGAACCCAGGGTTTGTTTTTGTTTTTTTTTTTTTCCCCAAAGGAGCTGGGTATGGTAGCATGTGCTTCTTATCATTCCACCCCTGGAGAGGGAGAGGCACGGAGCTTGCTGGCTCCCAGTCTAGCCAAATACAGGGTCAGTAAGAGACTCAGCCTCCAAAAGGAACGTGGAGCATGATTAAGAAAGATGGCTAGGCCGGGCGGTGGTGGCGCACGCCTTTAATCCCAGCACTCGGGAGGCAGAGGCAGGTGGATCTTTGTGAGTTCGAGGCCAGCCTGGTCTACAGAGCGAGATCCAGGAAAAGGCGCAAAGCTACACAGGGAAACCCTGTCTCAAAAAACCAAAAAAAAAAAAAAAAAAATGGCTAGCATTGACCCCTCCCAAACATGCACATGTTTTACGTGTGTAAAAGAAGTTGAAACTGGACCTGGTGTTGAATCACTGTAATTTAGCACGTGGGAGGTGGTAACAGGAGGATCAGGAGTTCCAGATTGTCCTTACTTTATATCAAGCTTAAGACCATCCTGGGGTATGTGAGGGGCTGTCTTAAAATCCCAAGGAAGTGAGGCTGAGTAGTTCATTAGTAATTATTCTTGGAGAAGGATTGGTTCAGGTTTCAACGCCCACATGACAGCACACAACTAACTCCATCCAGTTCTGAGTGACCCAATCCCTCCTTCTGACCTTGAAGGGGCCACAAGTCTTTGGCACACCTTTAATCCCAGCACCCAGAGGCGCACAGGCCAGCCAGGGATACACAGTTGAGACCTTGTCTCAAAAAAAAAAAAAAAAAAGAAAAAAACATCCAAGGAGGGGGAAAAGACAAAGTGTATCTGTTTGTTTATTTCTGCTATCCCTTTCTTTTGAGCAGCAAAGCCCAGATGAACCTTTGAGAAGCAGAAAGGTGTTTGTTGGACGTTGTACAGAGGACATGACTGCTGAAGAGCTTCAACAGTTCTTTTGTCAGTATGGAGAAGTGGTAGATGTCTTCATTCCCAAACCATTCAGGGCTTTTGCCTTTGTTACCTTTGCAGATGATAAGGTATTTTTCTTCTTAATTTGTTCCAGGGCTGGGAATGTATCTGGTTCGGGGCTACTGTGTGTGCCCAGCATAGTACTCCAGGTGCTGAGCTCAGTCTCCAGCACTAAAAATGATGAGTGGTTTGTTCCAACTGATTGATTGCCACCCTTTAGGGTAGAGTGTTTGGGTTTAGATAGTTGTAAGGTGCCCTTCCGATGTTTCTCATGTGGACTTTGGGGCTATTACATACCTTTTAGTTACAAATGTTGATGTTAACATTACCAAAGTGAAATTAGCATTAATTGCTTGTTTTTCTTCCTGCTTAGATGGGTTATACTAAGATTTGGGTTTGTTGCTGTTTTGGTGTGTGAGTTGGTGTTTTAATCACCATTTACATCCCTTGTTTCTTATAGGTTGCCCAGTCTCTTTGTGGAGAGGATTTGATCATTAAAGGAATCAGCGTGCATATATCCAATGCTGAACCTAAGCATAATAGCAATAGACAGTTAGAAAGAAGTGGAAGATTTGGTGGTAATCCAGGTGGCTTTGGGAATCAGGGTGGGTTTGGTAACAGTAGAGGGGGTGGAGCTGGCTTGGGAAATAACCAGGGTGGTAATATGGGTGGAGGAATGAACTTCGGGGCTTTTAGCATTAATCCAGCCATGATGGCTGCTGCCCAGGCAGCATTGCAGAGCAGTTGGGGTATGATGGGCATGTTAGCCAGCCAGCAGAACCAGTCAGGTCCATCTGGTAATAACCAAAGCCAGGGCAGCATGCAGAGGGAGCCAAATCAGGCTTTTGGTTCTGGAAATAATTCCTACAGTGGTTCTAACTCTGGTGCCCCTCTTGGTTGGGGGTCAGCATCAAATGCAGGGTCAGGCAGTGGTTTTAATGGCGGCTTTGGCTCAAGCATGGATTCTAAATCCTCTGGCTGGGGAATGTAGGCAGTGGGGGTTGGTGGTAGGTTGGTTGGTTGATAGGTAGGTATAGAATGGTGGGATTCAAATTTTTCTAAACTCATGGTAAGTATATTGTAAAATACATATGTACTAAAAATTTTCAGATTGGTTTGTTCAGTGTGGAGTATATTCAGCAGTATTTTTGACATTTTTCTTTAGAAAAAGAGGAAAAGCTAAATGAATTTTATAAGTTTTGTTATATAAAGGGTTAAAATACTGAGTGGGTGAAAGTGAACTGCTGTTTGCCTAATTGGTAAACCAACACTACAGTTGATCTCAGAAGGTTTCTCTGTAATAATCTATCATTGGACTTGTTAAATGGATTCTTTGCATGTTCAGAGTAGAAACCATTGGTTAGAACTACATTCTTTTCTCATTTTAATTTGAATCCCACCCTATGAATTTTTTCCTTAGGAAAATCTCCATTTGGGAGATCATGATGTCATGGTGTTTGGTTCTTTTGGTTTTGTTTTTAACACTTGTCTTCCTTCATATACGAAAGTACAATATGAAGCCTTCATTTAATCTCTGCAGTTCATCTCATTTCAAATGTTTATGGAAGAAGCACTTCATTGAAAGTAGTGCTGTAAATATTCTGCCATAGGAATACTTCTGTCTACATGCTTTCTCATCCAAGAATTCGTCATCACGCTGCACAGGCTGCGTCTTTGACGGTGGGTGTTCCATTTTTATCCGCTACTCTTTATTTCATGGAGTCGTATCAACGCTATGAACGCAAGGCTGTGATATGGAACCAGAAGGCTGTTTGAACTTTTGAAACCTTGTGTGGGATTGATGGTGGTGCCGAGGCATGAAAGGCTAGTATGAGCGAGGAAAGGAGAGAGCGCGTGCAGAGACTTGGTGGTGCAAAATGGATATTTTTTAACTTGGAGAGATGTGTCACTCAATCCTGTGGCTTTGGTGAGAGAGTGTGCAGAGAGCAATGATAGCAAATAACGTACGAATGTTTTTTGCATCAAAGGACATCCACATCTGTTGGAAGACTTTGAGTTTTGTTCTTAGAAAACCCACTTTAGTTGAATGTGTTAAGTGAAATACTTGTACTTCCCTCCCCCTCTGTCAACTGCTGTGAATGCTGTATGGTGTGTGTTCTCCTCTGTTACTGATCTGGAAGTGTGGGAACGTGAACTGAAGCTGATGGGCTGCGAACATGGACTGAGCTTGTGGTGTGCTTTGCAGGAGAACTTGGAAGCAGAGTTCACCAGTGAGCTCAGGTGTCTCAAAGAAGGGTGGAAGTTCTCATGTCTGTTAGCTACTCATAAGAATGCTGTTTGCTGCAGTTCTGTGTCCTGTGCTTGGATGCTTTTTTATAAGAGTTGTCATTGTTGGAAATTCTTAAATAAAACTGATTTAAATAATATGTGTCTTTGTTTTGCAGCCCTGAATGCAAAGAATTCATAGCAGTTAATTCCCCTTTTTGACCCTTTTGAGATGGAACTTTCATAAAGTTTCTTGGCAGTAGTTTATTTTGCTTCAAATAAACTTATTTGAAAAGTTGTCTCAAGTCAAATGGATTCATCACCTGTCATGCATTGACACCTGATACCCAGACTTAATTGCTATTTGTTCTTGCATTATCCAAAGTGAAAGTTTTTCCATGGGTTGTTTTGTTTTTAATCTAGTTTTTCATAAGTCTGGGTGACAGAACCTAAAATGGTAAGCAGTTACCCTTCAGTTTGTTCTGAGTGCCTCCGTGCATTTGAGTGGTTTCTATTGACCTGGCTGTATAAACCTCCATTGGGAAGTCGTGCTTTCTAAAAACTATTTGGGAGTGGGGGGCAAAACGGTTGTTTTCAAATGCTTTGTAGCAGAGCATTATCAATGGAAAAGAAGGGATGATAAGCATCTTTCATTTGGGGATTTGAAAAGTGGAATTAATTGCAATAGGGATGAAGTAGAAGAAACCAAGAAACCGTGTGCCTGAAATTCATTAAGAAGCCTGATAGCTTTAAGAACTAATAGGGTGGGTTGTCTATCTCCGGCAGTCTTAAGTGAGGTGGGCTCTTATCCTCTGGGGTGTGGGGGCCATATAGTGACGAACAAATACGCTCACAAAATCAGTTTAGGCTCTCACAATGCATTGTTAAGAATGTAAAAGCAATAATAATACCTTGTGTATTGTACTTTTCCTGTAACTACTGAGGACTGGGGAGCTCCTTTTCTAACTGGAAAGATGTGACCATTTTTTTGTTGATAGTTTCCCTAATGCCCTTACCTAAATAGATTATTATGATAAATAGGTTTGTCATTTTGCAAGTTGCGTGTTTTAAAATTTTATATCCTTTAGAGACTTGTTATGCACACAGTGTTTCATTATTCAGTACCCTCTGTAAAGGGATCTTGAGTTATTGTAAATTTTTTTCTCTGCATGATTTCCAAACCCTGTACATCTGAATTTTGCATTTTAGCACTTGCACTATTACTCAGCAGCAGTAACATGGTAACATTAAAATGGTTTTCGGGGACCTCCAAAGACTAAACTGGCAAGCCGTCCAGGAGTCCTGGGGTAAGTTACTTGTCGATAGCATGGTTTTGATCCCTTGTTTGCACTTGTTAAAGAGTTACTGGTCATAGAAGGCTTTCAATGTTGAGTAGCCTTTTAACATGTTTATGGTATGACGTAGCTGTAGATAGTTATTTGCCCTAAATGAAGTTTCAGAAATAAACTACTTGGCAAAGATTTGGTTTTTGAAAGTCTATTTGGTCATCAAAATGCATTCATTCTTAAAAACAATCTTTGAACCACAGTTAAATAAAAAGTTTTCTTGCCACCAACAGTTTAGTGTCTGGAGTCTTACTGGAAAAAAAACATTGCTGTTTCATGACAAAAATGCTAGAAAGTTAAACAGTGACTTACGTGGGAAGATGCAGTACAGCATTTTCATCCTTTAAAAAATGTGAGTCTCCAGCTGGGTGTGGTGGCACATGCCTTTAATCCCAGAAGTTGGGGCATGCACATCTGAGTTGTATGCCAGCTGTTGCTCCATAGTGAAACCCTGTTAAAAACTTGTTGGAAGAGCCAATCAAATGCCACATTTTAAGATTAAGGTAGCATCTTAGGAGAAAAGCAGTTACTTACAGTGAATTACTGCTGCTTCTGTTACATAGGAGAATGAGTCTGCTGAATACAGTTGTTTTACACTGTTGTGCCATCTGTGATCTATTTGACTCACTTGTGCTCAAGTCATGCTCACTTAAAAAAAATGGTCCAAATATAGTGGCATACACTTAATACCCAGCAATTGGGAGGCCGAGGCAAAATAGTAAATTTGAGGTCAGCCTGGGGCAGGCTGTCTCAAAAGGTAGGCGTGAGGAGTTCAGAATGTATCTTAGTTGGCTTACCTAGTTAACATGCCCAAAGGCCTGGGTTTGATTGCTAGCCAACACCAGATAAAGTGGGGTGTGGCACATCCACCTAAGCATTTAGCTGGTAGCAAAAGAAAGGTTGGATTTACTGCTACACTACAAGTTTTAGAACCGACTCTGGAAAAGTTCGAGCTTTTGAAACAAATTGTTAAATCACCCTTTTGAGGGGGTAAAATACTATTCCATGTTATTTTTATCCAATAATTTGATGAAATATGGTAGACTGCCTATAATCCCAGTATTCTGGAAATGGACCCCCCCCCCCCAAAAAAAAAAAAACCCACATTGTTTTATGGTACTGATTTTAATAGGGAAATCGCATACCAGCTTTCAGTTTACCTTTGAAAAGAGAAGTGATCAGATATTCTGCACTTTGAGAGGTCATTAGGACTAAGTCTTAACATACTAGAAAAATCAACAGCAAGTATGAAATATTAAGTAGATTGTAGAAAATCAATACAAGTTGACATAGTTTGTGTCTGGGGTTGGCAAAGATAATGCTATTGTATTGAACACCTACTAGACTCAACAAAGTTGACATTGGCTAGTGCCTATAAGTTTGATCTGGTTTGGGGTGGGCCATTGATGCTTCTTGGGTTCTCTTACTGCTAAGAGCTTTTCAAGGTACTTGTAAAAATGAGAATTTACTAATTGGAGGCATGCAAGTTAAAAATTACTCATTATGTTCTCGATCCAGGTAATGTAGTTTATGACTTTTGTGTAGATGCCATACTGTTGTGCCTCCCCACAATTAATGGAACCCCAGGAAACTATTCCTCCCACAAACCATTGCTGTGTTTCATTATCTAGAAACACTAATGCCCCTCCACTGTCACCTCTGCAGCTGTCCTTGCCACCAGTTTCTAAGCCAGCACAGAGCATGTTACCAGTTACTCTTTCTCCTGGGTAGATCTTTTCATAAGCAGAAGTACATTTTTGATGGTCAACAATTGGTATGTCCACAGACATCAGGTTTCTAGCAAGAAACCCCTTTTGGGTTAACCCCCAGCCAGCCACAGTTCCAGTGTCGCCTGTCCTCAATGATGCAGCTGCTTTTCTTAGCAGACAAATGGGCATAATGCTCCTATTGATTGTGACTTTGTTCTTGAGTTTAATCAGTGCTATATCATTGTCAAAACCAGCACCATGATTATAACCTTCGTGTATAAAGACAGCCTCAGGCCAGGCTTGGGTGTAATTAGGTGAGAGCCTTTTGAGGATACCCATGCGAATGTCCAGGGAGGATGCTGCCTCTGTTACTCCATACACAGCATGAGCAGCTGTTAGGACCCAGTTGTCATGTAAAAGAGCACCTGCTGCTATAGTTTCGCCCAGTAATAAGACTTGCCAAGGAAAGTCACCAGGCTTTGCAAACTGCCCTCCAATTATGCGGCCTCTTGTAGTGAGTGTAGACAGCCCACAAACTGAGGAAAGAGCAGAAACAAGGCTACATTTAGTGTCAACCAACAGTTTTATCCCATGAATTGATAGGCAGGCATCCTCTCTGTTTAGGCTTGTTAAGTCCTTATTTATAGTTGCTTAGCTCGTTCTCAAGATCAGTAAGATTTCACAGATTCTTAGGTTTTGCTGAAAGAAAACTAAGTTGAGGGAAGCTGTAGACAATATAGACAGTAATTGTGTGCACAAAGACATGAACACTGCATAGAGGCAAAAGGTCAGGACTCTGCTGCATTCACTGGGAATTCTGGGAAGGCAGGAATTAAGGTTATGATTAACAAAATTACTGTTGCCTTTGAATGTAAAAATCTAAAAATTACAAATGTTGCAGCGATGACAGAGATGCTTCTGGTTCTAAAATTTGTATTTTTGGTCTGGTTGAGTCATCTAAACATTGAGTTTACAGTGTCTCTGTTGCAAGCTAATTACTTAGGAATGCAGCATGTTTCTTATTGTGGCCTTGCACTTTGATTAAAACTTAGAAGTAGCATGTCAGCCAAATACAGGGTTAGAAAACTAAGCCAGCTAACACAGGGGTAATGAGTGTATTATTACCTTTAATTTTTTTTTAAAGCATTTAACTATTATTGTTGGAGCCAATTCTGGTTTAAAAAAATTAAATACTATTAAAAGGCAAATTGCATTAATGTTTAAAAACCTAGATGTCATTGAGAACAATTGCTTAGGGAAATAATGAAGTTATTAGCTTTGGGTTTTAATAGCACTTTTACAGAGAAGAAAAGTAACTCAACAAGAATTTGTGTTTATATATGTATAAATGGCTTGAGATAATTTAAGAAATCATTTAATTTTTTATGCTTGCCTAGTCATAAAGGTCAAAAATAATCAAATAAGTGCAGCTAGCACCTAGCAGCCTCCATATGCAAAGGGGTGATGAGAACACACTTAGGAGTTACGTTAGTCCAAGCCAAGCCAGATGCTGAGCTTCCATGTCTGCCTACCCTTGTCCTCCATCTACTCTGTCAGCTATGAGTCTTATAAATGCATCCATTACCAGGCTTGCAAACCGGGAGGAATTTTTCTCCTTTGGAGCTCGTCCAGAATCCATCAGCCTCACACACATATTTACCTGCAAATTGTTGGAAAAGCAAAAATGTTTAACTGTGCTTGTCATTTGCTTGAATAATCCTTTGAAAAATGTTGATTCTTGAGCACCCATGGTGGGGAGAGGTGTGTGAATAACCATTTTACATGATTTCCTAAATAGGTGTCTGCATTACCATGTTTGCTTGCAAAGTGGAAACCTTTTAGATGTGTAACTTGAATATGTATCAAGATCTCAAGTGCTTAATGATAAGGTTTTGACTTGTTAAATTAAACCATTTGGAATATATTGTGTGTTTGTAGTAGTCATTTACTAGATAAGATGTTTTCAGATTCTTGCAAATTGACATTAAAGTCACTTTAACTGTAATATTTCACTAACGACAAGGGAGAAAGGCCTTTTAATCCTTTGTCTTCCTTATCCAAAAAGTCTGGTTCAAGTTCCAAGTACCACCCACCCTTGAAGAAAGTACTTACCATCGCTGCTCATGGTATAGAAATTCTCTTCACAGCTGTACTGAATGACAGCTTTGTAGGTGGTCACTTCAAGGCCTGTGATGTATTCTATGTAGCCATTGGGTAGGTCATCAGGAGGGCCACAGTCAACAACTAGTAAAGAAACGGGAGGAGCTGTACTCGGGTGGAGGTTGTAGCCTGATGGGGTACCTGAGTGACACAGGTGAAGCCCCCAGTATGCTCTCCAGGACCAGTACGTGGAGAGCCAGGTGGGCCTTGTGCTGGTCTCATTCTCTACATGGTACATGGCACTAATGCCACTTTTAAAAGTAGCAAGAATAGTTTCAACTTGGTGCCTCTTCACTGAAGGGACTTCCCTGGAGAGGAGTGGGTGGCCTCTCCAGAGCAGGGAATTCAGAAACACTTGGAGTTGCATAGCTCTCACAAAAGAAATGGTCTGCAGGATAACATGGAAGAAAAGACCATGTTCTTGTGTGACATAAACCAGTGGATTAAGAGACTTGTCTCTATTTTCCTGCTCACAGCTTGAGCTTTGTAGAAACCCTGAGGGGTGTTGATTGTTTCAGGTTTGTTGGTTTTTTTTGTTTTTTGTTGGCTTTTGAGACTGTCTCCACATAGCCCTGGCTGTTCTAGAACTTGCTCTGTCCTCTGCCTTGAAAGTGCTGGGATTTTTAATTCATTTTTTTGTTAATTGGTGTTTTGCCTGCATGTACATATATGTGAGGGTATCAGAAGAGCTGGAACTGGAGTTAGACAGGTGTGAGCTGCCACGTGGGTGCTGGGAATTGAATCAGGGTCGCCAGGAAGAGCAGGCAGTGCTCAACTGCTGAGCCATCTTCTCCAGCCTCAGCTCAAATTTCTGTTGTGGCTGCTCTGCCATGCCACAGGTGAAATAGCACCAGATGTGTCTACACCTACACAGCAAGAAGTGGCAGGATCAGACCCAGACCACCATTTGCCCACACACTGTCAACCCGGCTCAACATTTGATACTGAAAGAATTGGTAAATCTAATTGGGGAGAAGTTTCTGTTTTCAAATATGTATACTTTCGTAGTTGAAAGAGTACTAAGCGCCGGGCGGTGGTGGCGCACGCCTTTAATCCCAGCACTCGGGAGGCAGAGCCAGGCTGAACTCTGTGAGTTCGAGGCCAACCTGGGCTACCAAGTGAGTTCCAGGAGAGGCGCAAAGCTACACAGAGAAACCCTGTCTCGAAAAACCAAAAAAAAAAAAAAAAAAAAAAAAAAAAAGAAAGAGTACTAAGCATGTGATTCTTGAGAAATTTCTTAGTTTTCAAAATGCAAATAAGTGCCATTATCCATATAAGTGTGTGGCAGGTGTGCACATGTATGCCCAAGGCTTAGGGTGGGGTAGAACTGGAGAGGCCTACACAGTAGCATCACTTTTCTGTAGGGTGATAGGGATTAAGATTTTTTTCCCTACATTTCTAATGCCTGCAAGAGCAGTGTTTTACACTTAGGAATGATTTCAGTGCCTCTCCCCAGCATTTCGGCTCCTTGGCACAGAGACTTGAGTAGAAGTGAATCTGGGGTGGGAGGGGGGGCATGGGAATGACTAGAGAAGCCACAAAGCAATAATGGGTGAACTGGGGAGATTGCTCAGAACAGGAAAGTGCTTTCTGCACAATCATAAGTACTTGAGTTCACCTCCCCAGCACCCAGGTAAACCAACCATAGCACTGTGCTTCCTAATTAAGATCCCAGGCCAGGCGATGGCAAACGCCTTTAATCCCAGCACTTGTGAGGCAGAGCCAGGCAGATCTGAGTTTGAGGCTAGCCTGGGCTACAGAGTGAGTTCCAGGATAGGTGCAAAGCTATATAGAGAAGAGAAACCCAGTCTCGGGAAAAAAAAGCATGGGGGGGGTGGCGCTGGGCTGGTGGAAGAGCCAGGCATCCTCTAACCCAGTGGTTCTCAACCTATGGGTTGCAATTTCTTTGGGGTTGCCTAAGACCATTGGAAAATAGATATGATTCATAGCAGTAGCAAAATTACAGTTATGACATAGCAATGAAAATTTTATGGTAGGGGGTCCCCACAACATGAACTGTATTAAAGGACCGCAGCACTTAGGTTGAGAACCACTGCTCTAACTCTACAATGACCTTCATGTGTGTACACATGAAGGGACAACACAGAAATGGTACAGGTGGCAGCAAGGGAAGGGTTGTCACGGTATGACCATACTGCTGCACTCTGGTATTGGCCGGTCCCAGGATCCGTCTTTCTGGCAGACAGTAGTGAATGATCTTAGGGGCACAGGACCCTGAAGAGGAAATTCAGAGAATGAGCTCCCTGTTAACATCAGGTCACTCCCCATACCAGAGCTTCCCAGTGCTCCCAAGTGAGGGCAGCAGCCGTGGCTCAGCTGCCTTGTTCATGTGCACATTGGCTGCCAACAGCTCTGCTGGCTTACGTCACCTGTACACTAATAACTGCGATTCTTACCATATACTGCTTTCCAGTGCATCCTAGAACCCAACTGGTCAAAGTTCTTGTCGGTGTCTCTTGTTTTCTTCCTCTGAGGGTGGAGGTTAGGCCCCAGCCCCTCCATTTATTTATTTTTATGAAGTCCTGCTGTCCCGGAACTCTGTGTACCAGGCTAGCTTTTGAGCTCACAAAGTCCAACTGCTTCTGCCTCCTGAGTGCTGGGATTAAAGGTGTGCACAATCTCACACACACTATTTAAAAAAAAAATTCGGGGGCTGGAGAGATGGCTCAGTGGTTAAGAGCACTACTGTTCTTCCAGAGGTCCTGAGTTCAATTCCCAGCAACCGCATGGTGGCTCAACCACTTGTAATGTGATCTGGTGCCATCTTCTGGCCTGTAGGGACACATGCAGGTAGAATATTGTATACATAATAAATAAATAAATCTTTAAAAAAAAAAATTCGGCCGGGCGGTGGTGGCGCACGCCTTTAATCCCAGCACTCGGGAGGCAGAGCCAGGCGGATCTCTGTGAGTTCGAGGCCAGCCTGGGCTACCAAGTGAGTCCCAGGAAAGGCGCAAAGCTACACAGAGAAACCCTGTCTCGAAAAACCAAAAAAAAAAAAAAAAAAAAAAAAAAATTCGGTTTGTTTCATGGTTTTGAGTGTTTTGCCTGCATGCATGCGTGTACCACCTGTGTGCCTAGTGTCCGAAGAGGTCAGCAGAAGGCAGCCTTGAACCCCTTGAAACGAGTTAGGGTGGTTGTGAGCTGCCATGTTGGCCCTGGGAACTGAATCCAGTCCTCTGCTTAGTCATCTCTCCAGCCTTTCCACCATTTCTTTCTACCAAGTGCCAGATGGGGCCAGTGAGATGCTCAGCAGATAAGGTAGGTAATTGGCTGACAAGCCTGCCAACCTGAATTTGAGATCTGGAACCTACATGGGAAAACGAGAACTGACACCTGGAAGCTGGTCCTCTGCCCTCCACGCATGCTGTGTGCAGCCACATACAAATGTTCTTTTTCTCAAAAGTGCCAGAAGGAGTCTGGCATCGTGGCAGTGCCAGTGATCCCAGCACTCAGGGAGGCTGAGACAGATGGATCTCTGAGTCCAAGGCCACCTGGTCTACAAATCAAGTTCCAGGACAGTCATGGCTACACAGAGAGAAACTGTCTCTACCTACCCCTCACCCCCACCCCCCAAAAAATGCCAATGTTAAAAAAAAAAAATGCAGAGATAGTTACTAAAGTCAAACATTAAGCTGACTGTGGTGGTACACACCTTTAATCCAAGACAAAGACAAGTCCCTGAAACAATGTCAACCATTTGAGCCAAGTGTGGTACACACCTTTAATCCAAGGCATGCAGATCTCTGAGTTTGAGGCCAGCCTGGTCTACATAGTCCAGAGAGAGAAAGTATGCATTAATGGAAGAGAGTGCCATTTGCCAAAGCTGTAGTGTTTCAAAAGATACACATTTTTTTTCATTTAAATGATAAACAGGATGTATACTTTACTAACATCCACAAAGTCCTGGGTTTGATCCAAAGCACCACATAAACTGGGCATGATGGAGCATGCCCCAGGGAAGTAGAAGCAAGAGAATTGGGACAAGCTTATCCTCAACTATATGGCAAGTTCAGGGCCAGCCTGGGCTACATGAAGCAGTTTCAAAACAACTGAACAAGTTTATGGTCTTGCAGTCCAAAAGTGGAAAAGAGCCTGACCAAGAGGTTTGTAAGATGGGACTTTCCCTGCTTTGCCCTCCACAGACTGGACTCCATCCCTAGCTGTCATTCCAGGGTTATTGCTTTTTACCACTGGGATTCAGTGACAATTTTGAAGAACACAAAGAGGATGAGTTAATTTCTTACCTGTGCCCCTGAAGCAACATGCTAAGCAGTTTTTAAAATTATATTCCCTCTCCCTTAACAGTGAGCACTATTTATAACTTTGCAGAATGTACTCTTTCCAGGGCTGTCTAATCTTTGTGGGCCCAGGAGCTGTTCCCCTGGAAGGGCGTCAGCTGGCCAGGGAAGTCTTAATCTAACAGGAGCTACGCAGAGCTCATGGGGCAAGGTGAGCACACTCCTTTCTGTTGTTTCAGCCACTTTCCAGAGAGCTCAAAGTACAGATGAACAGAAGTTCTTTTAATGACTAGCTCTCTAAAAGAGCCTCTACAACAGATGGGTGTGGAGCGTGTAGGCTAAGTGATAGAGAGCATACTTAGTGTGTATGAGTTCAGTCCTCAGCACCAAACATAAAAGTTTCAGCCGGGTATGACCGTGTACACCTATAATCCCAGCACTGGAGAGGCTAAATCAGGAAGTCAAAGAGCTCATGGCCAGCCTGGGCTACATCTTGAGCCATTGTCTCAAAAAGTTACAGCTGCAGCACCAGGTGTGATGGTGCACACCTTCAGTCCCAATACTAGGGAGACAGAGGCAGGTGGATGTCTATGAGTTCGAGGCCTGCCTGGTCTACAAAGTGAGTTCCAGGACAGCCAGGCCTACACAAAAAAATCCTGTCTCGCCGGGCGGTGGTGGCGCACGCCTTTAATCCCAGCACTCGGGAGGCAGAGCCAGGCGGATCTCTGTGAGTTCGAGGCCACCCTGGGCTACCAAGTGAGTTCCAAGAAAGGCGCAAAGCTACACAGAGAAACCCTGTCTCGAAAAACAAAACAAAAAAAAAAAAAAAAAAAAAAATCCTGTCTCAACAAAACAAAACAACTGGGTGTGGTAGTGAACGCCTTTAATCCCAGCACATCTGTGTGATTGGAGGCCAGTCTGGTCTACAAAGTGAGTTCCAGGACATCCAGCACTACATAGAGAAACCCTGTCTCAAAAAACAACAAAAAGGGCTGGAGTGATGACTCAGCGGTTAAGGGCACAGCTGCTCTTCAGAGTGCCCAGGTTCAATTTCCAGCACCCACATGGCAACTCACAACTGTAACTCCAGTTCCAGGGGATCTGACACTCACACTGACATATGCAGGCAAAATACCAATGCACTTAAAAATAAGCATTGAAAAATTTAGAAAAACAAAGTCACAATTTTTAAAAGGCAGAAATGCTTATGGTGGCATATACTAGTCATCCCAATACTTGGGAGGCTGAGGCAGGAGGATTTTGAACTTGAGACCAGCCTGAACTACATAGTTCCAGGCCAGCTTAGACTACATAGCAAAACTGCCTCAAAACAAAAATGAAAGGCAGGATCCACCACCACCACCACCGCGCCCCCCCCCCCCCAAAGACTGTCCATGCCATTCCTCTTTGTTTGCTGCAGACTTATTACTACTTTGATTTTTTTTTTTCTGCATAGGCACTTCCCGATTTCATCTCCAAATTCAAAGCCGTCTTGATCATAGGCACTCAGTTTTTTAGTGACTCACTTGTAGAAGCTCAAAGCCAGTCTTGCAGAAGACAGAAAAACTGTCCTTCAGGATGTACTTGGCTTGCACGGGTGAAATGTAGCCATTAGGTGGCACCGTTGGATCAGGGCAGGGCTGTGCTGTGCAGAGGAACAGGCAGGTCTGAATTTAGCAATCTGTGTTCTTGGTTATAAGTGAACTAAGAGGCAGGGCCTGCCCCAAGTGTTAACAGTGGTGGTCTTAACATTTAACACCAAAGGCAAAATTAAGCTGAGTCACCTCCACACACTCACTTGTTTCTTTGTCCGTGACTCAGCTACAAGGCTGGAAAGATGGTGCCGCAGTTAAGAGCACTGCTTTCCAGAGGACTCCAGTTTGGGCCCCACATCAGGGGGCTCACAACCATGTGCAACCCCAGCTCCAAGGGCTCTGACCCTTCTGTCCTCCAGGGGCATCTGCACACCAGTGGCATACAGCCAATTCTTTTTTTTTTTAGTTAAGAAAACTGCCAGATGTGGTGGTGGCACACGCCTTTAATCCCAGCACTAGGGAGGCAAAGGCAGAGGGATCTCTGAGTTCGAGGCCAGACTCAAACTACAAAGTAAGTTCCAGGACGACTAGGGCTGTTACACAGAGAAACCCTGTCTTGAAACACACCCCTACCCTCCCCACCAAAGAAAAAGAAAAAGAAAACCAGAAGTACAGAATGAGTTCTCTATGCCAGGAAGATGACACGTGTGGTTTGAAGCCAAGAGTGTCACTTCTAGGAAAAGAACAAGACTGAGATTAAGTGACAGTGTTTGGTGTTGCCCTTCCCTGGAGTCTCACTAGACAAAGCGTTCGCCTGAAAGGCTGTGCCACAGGGGCTTGACATTTCCCCACTGAACTGAGGGCAGAGACTGTTGGTGACTCTGCCTTCTGCATTTAGCATCCTTGGCATACATCTCTCTTTTAAGAGTAATGCTGAGGACTGAGCACAGGGTCCTCAGGGTCCTGTGCTCAGTAGGCCGGCCCTCAGCCACCAAGCTCCATATTCACCTACCTTACACATATCTATAGGAGGTAAAGATGGGTGGGGAACAGGATAGGTGAGCGGGTGGGTGGGTGAATGGATGGATAGATCGTGGGTAGGTAGGTTGTGAGGGGGATAAGATAGAGGGAAACATAGACCTGGAATCCCAGCACTCGGGCTGAGGCAGGAGGATCCAAGTTTAAGGGCAGTTTGTGCTATAAGTTTGGGACCATCTGACCCGCAGAGTTAGACCCTATCTCAAACACCAGAACTGAGGACAGAGGGGGTGCCCAGGTAAATGGCTGTCTGGGTAAGGGGGAGAAGGAAGAAGGGAAGGCTTGCTATTCCACTCCCCCACCCCCACCCCATCCCTGCCATGGATGTCACTTGACAGACCACCCCCACTCCATCTGTGCTCCCTTCCTTGGCCTGACCAGGAAAGAGTCCAGTGCTATGGTTTGTTGATGCTGCAGAATGGGCAGAAACTGTTTTGTCTCCTGGACCCGAGAGTCATGCTCACCTGTGCTGGTGTAGCGGATCTTCCAGCCTGTGTGGGCCCCCGACTCATCAGTAGCAAATGTGATGGTCACACTGTTGCTGTTCGTTTCAATCCTGTGGGGCAACGCCTTCCCACAGAATGGGCCGTATTCCCCCTTCTCTGTTTGGATCTGAACAAAGAGACTCTGAACCCCCAGGACCTGCGGCAGGGGTCTGGCCTATGTTAGAGGGAAGTGTACCAACTGAAACTGGCTGGGGCAGGCTGGGGACAAGAGGTGGGTACCCTATCCTTCATGCTGAAGTGACAACCTGGCTTGGAGCCCCACAGAAAGGCTGAAAGGGATTCACTGGAGGACAGAACATAGTAGGCGGTATTGAAAGGAAGGAAGGGCTGCTGTTCAGGGGTAAGAGCCGTGACAAGGTAAGGGTGCAAGCTGCAGACCTTGAGGGAGTCATAGGGGCACTGGGCCTCAGGATGCATCTCCACATCGAAGGACTCCACGAAGTCCAGGATGACACTGAAGCCCTCCTCCAGGCAGATGTGGTAGGTGCAGCTGGAGAGTTTGGGGTACGGCTGTGGGTATTCGGGGCTACTGAGCTCCCCAGACCTCTCAGTGAACACCTGGCCTGAACACAGGGCTGGGAAGGAGAGAGGACAAGATGGCATGACTGCTCATGGGGGACAGCTCTTGAGCACGGAGAACACCTGGGACAGCTCTTGAGCACGGGGAACACCTGGGAGACAGCTCTTGAGCACGGGGAACACCTGGGACAGCTCTTGAGCACGGGGAACACCTGGGGGACAGTTCTTGAGCACAGGGAACACCTGGGACAGCTCTTGAGCACAGGGAACACCTGGGACAGCTCTTGAGCACAGGGAACACCTGGGGGACAACTCTTGAGCACGGGGAACACCTGGGGGACAGCTCTTGAGCACAAGGAACACTTGGGACAGCTCTTGAGCACGGGGAACACCTGGGACAGCTAAGTCCAGGGTCTGGTCAAGAACGTGCACTTGACAAACCGCAGAGGCAGGAGGGGACCCAAACTCCCACCCTAAACAATGCCAAAGGACGGTTAGAAGATGACTCTGTTGCCCTCAGGCTTTAGCTGAAGCAGGGTATAGTTTGCCAGTGCCCAAACTCTTACCCCAGGGTCAGAGTCACAGCTGAAAAGGTGAGAACACAGGAAGGGAGACTTGGCCAGAGGGAAGTGGGCCCTGGAAGGAGGGACAGGCCACCTCCCCAGGTCCTTAGGAATTCAGGGAGAGGAAGGAGGCAGTCCCTTGAACTCAGGGCTTTTCTCCTGCTCTCCAATCACTCCAGTGCACAGCTCAGCAGTTCCCAAGTGAGTCCACAAGGGGGCTCCCAAGAAGTCTGGCAGGGACCAGCCCAGAGCCTTACATCCCAGGGAACAGGCTGGGAAGGCTTTTCCCAGGCCTTCCCTGTTGTCAGAAGTGGCCCTGGGGACAGTTGAGAGAAGTTTATGTCACCAGTGTGCACAGTCTGCCCTCTTGTCTCAGGCTGCTAAGCTGCCCTGAAGGTGATCAGGCTCCATCTCTTAGGGAGGTTCTGCATCTCCTCCCCACCCCTTCCTGCCTGCTTAGACAGGGTCCGAGCAGACTGGTAGGGCTGCTTGTAGGAAGTCAAGACTTCACATACTGCCTCCTTCCATGAGGTTGCTCCCTACTGTACAGAGGTTGCAGGGTAACTATCCTGGATGCAGGGTAATTAGCCTGATCCCTTGGTAACACCTCCTGTGGTCTCTCTGTTCTGAATCAAGCTCTAAGTCAGGAAACAAAAACCTGCATGGCCCTATAAACAAGAACTGGCTAAAGATGTCCTGAGATCAGCCTCAGGGGAAGCAGTAGAGGGAGGAGGGTCTCCCTCCGTGAGCTCAGGCTAATCCCTGTCCATTCAGTGCCTATCTACAAAATAAGGGGCTTAAAGCAAGCCCTTCACAAGTGCCTATGGCCCTGGAGGGGGTTCCCACCATCAGGCTGTGAGACAAGGAGGATTAAGATAGAGAGAGACCCAGGTTGCTGCCCTCCAACTCTCCTCCACTCCCCCCAAGAGACACACAGCCACAGTGGAATGGAGGCAGGTTTATTATTGTTATGGGTATGGTGGATGGTTGCTGTAGCTGGCAGCCATTCCGTCCTGACACAGAGCGGCAGCATGTGGGCATGCACTGACATCTGACCCATTGGGGTGGG